TGCGCTGTGCTGCGCTGTGCTGCGCTGTGCTGCGCTGTGCTGCGCTGTGCTGCGCTGTGCTGCGCTGTGCTGCGCTGTGCTGCGCTGTGCTGCGCCGTGCTGCGCAGCATGCAGTGCGGTTGCGTCATGATGGTCAGTGATGGCGGGGGATGGCCGGGCGGGCCGACTGGCTGCGCACTGCACGCGCCGCCGGCTTCAGCCGCGCCGTCAATGAAGCGCGCCCATTCATTACTGCCGGCCCGGCGGCTCCGACCTGCAGGTCCATGGGCACGGCAGTCGGCAGCCACACGTTAATGTAGCCGCATCCCACCCCTGCCCTGCGTTCAACCCCTTCCCAGCGTGGAGGGCGCGTGTGTCCGGCATTCAGATTTTGGGGAGAAAAGCCGGCGGTCCCCATTCATATGCCGCTACACCGCAGGCGGCGCCGCCGCCCGCCCCGCCCGATCCGCATGCTAATTCTTGGCTATACGGGCGGGTCGCAGGTCACCGCGCAGAATGGGACGCCTCTCTGCGGGACGATGCTCCCGGCTGAAAGGCGGGCGGACGAGGACCTCTACGTAGCAAACCTCTGCAAAGTTGAAGTGTTGTTCTGTTTAGGCACCTTGCCTTGCACCTTGCAATTTCTCGCAAATTTTAAATGGTTCTTGAAAGGTGGGGCAACCTTTACACCTCAGTACTTCATTTGAACTCTCTGTTTGGGGGTTTGTGATTTGTATGCTCTGCACACAGGGTATAAGTTTACCATAAGCCCCGCCATTTTTGTGATTTAAAAAAAAATGATACTTGCAGCATTATAGGATTATCGTGTGGTGCCGGGTCGCCTGCTCGCACGGCGAAGGAATTTTACTAGGGATCCCCATAAAACCAAACTGCAAATAATTGTCACTATGTATAGCAAGCCCCTTTCCACACTGTAAAGAATATCGTCGTAAATTTACAAAAATTTTGTAAACTCGAATTAAAATTTTAAGTTGTAAATTTACGAGAGCACATTTTTCACTCGCCAATGGATTTGAAGTCGATACGTACTGCATGTATTTTTACGATTCCAAATTCTAATTTTACAACTTGGAAAATTTTCCTGTAAACCTACCTACTATTTTTCACAGTGCACATTTTCTGACTCCTCTGGGCTTCTGGTGTCACACTTTAAGTGTGATAATGAGACAGACGTGGCCCCACACGTGTAAGTTAGGGGTCGTCCATAAAGTACGTCCGTCAGTCGCCGTGACGAACCTGCTAAGTTCAGCCTCTGCAAGCTTTCATAACGCCTCGTGTGTAGGCAACATCTTGCCTGTAGTGCATGCGCGTACGGCGGGGTGGCCTACGCCGAGTCTCGCAGGCGCCAAGCTCTCGTAATTTGCCGGAATGAAACAGTGGAAAACGGACGTACTTTCTGGGCGATCCCTTAGATCCACATGTGGTATCGCCATTGCAAGTGTTCTACACTCAGTTGCATTTGAAACTGTTATCACATTTGAGTTTTCTACACTCCCTTTCTAACGCCCTTCCCTACAGGCATGCGCCGCAAAGGCCGGCGGTGGCCCAACCCGCTGCTCGCCGTCATGTTCGGGCTGGGCTCGCTCATCGTGGTGGGCGGCATCGCCAAGACGGCCATGATCGCCGGCAAGGCGCTGGCGCTGTCGCTGCTCGCGCTCGCGCTGGCCGTCATGATGGGGCTGCGGGGCGGAGGCGGCGGCGGCGGGGGCGGCGCCGCCAACTACGAGGTGAGTGGGGCGGCGGCGCGCACCAACAAGTGTATGAATGTCGCACACTTGTAGATGAGTGAATTTACATTCGCGCACTTGGATCTGTGAATAGGGGTGAATTTGACATCAAAATTCGTTACACGTATGTCTTCTCAAGTGTGCACTGGTAAAATTAAGGATAGGATATCCTACCTTTAAAAGGCGTTAAAGCTCCAAAGGCATTACAATTTATGTTTTTTTCGAAATATTTCTTTCCCATGGAAGAAAATTGGATTCTGAAACCTATTGTCACAATCTACGCGAAATTCCGCGTAAGACGACGTGTTAAAAAATTGCATTAGATTGATTTCATTTTTTGTACTTTTTGACTTGCTTTTCATTTGCTGACCGCTCATCTGAACCCTATCACATGTAGGTTCGTTTGACGCGGATTTTTGCGAGGAGTGCGATAATGAATCTCAAAATGTGAGTGGTTTGCTCCTATAGAAAATATTTTGAAGAAACTAAAAATATACTCTTTAGCACCCCTAAAACGAGTTGAACACCCCTGGAAAGGTAGGAGACCGCACCTTTGTTTTTCCAGTGTGCTTTCAAAATGTTAAGAGACAATTCTGTTCTGCCACAAAAGGTAAGGGTACACTGGAAATGCAAGTGTGTGAATGTCGCTCACCTGCAGGTGAGCGACAATCCATTCGTACACTTAGGGGGGTAAAGGTGTGAATTTTTACTAGAAGATTCACACGTTTACCCCCTTAAGTGTACGAATGGAATGTCGCTCACCTGCAGATGAGCGACATTCACACACTTGCATTTCCAGTGTAAGAATTTCGTGCACATCCAGGCCGGATGCAATTTTTGTTCATAAATTGAATAAATGGACAAATTGTGTAAAACTCTACACAATTTGTGCACGAAATTGTATTTAGTCTGCAAGAGTACGTAAACGTTGCCGTTTTGGAGCTTTCATTTGAAATGTGCGAGGGGAAATACACACATACCTTCTAGTGTGCGACATTCACACACTTGGATATCCAGCCCGCGGAGCGGGCAGGAAAGGCCGGCTGGAAACAAGAAGTTAAGGGAAGTTTCGAGCTTGTAAGCCTCAGCACGCCCCGTGCTTCGTGTTTTGGGCAGTTCCTGATGGCAATCTCTCTCTGTGTGCCCCTCGCAGATCCTAGCGACGGGCATCCGACGGCGCACCGGGCTGAGCGGCGCGGTGCAGTACCCCGTGTACGTGGACGCCGCGGAGCAGCCGGCAAGCGCGGGAGGCGGCCAGAGCCTCGCTTACAGTGGCCACCACACCAGGCCCTGATGCGGGGGTGTGTAGTTGGCAGCCGAAAACGGGAGAAAAAAAATAGATTGAATTTGTGTGTTCCTTTTATGATTAAGTCAACTTTGTGCTAGTTCGAAGCGGGGTGGTGTCCTCCCTCTTCCTTAGCCGTTCCTCACATTTATTTTCCATTCTTATGTTGACTGGGCGAGAACAGAGCAATTTTATGACACATTCTTGCCCAGTGAACGTGTTGAGGTACTAATTTATTTCCATGATCTCTTTTCTATTTTTACCTCCTTCTCTTTTATATTTGTTGGTACTCTGTGGGCTCAGCTGTGAATGTGAGTAGAGCGACTAAGAGGACACCCCCAAAGATTCAAGGATATTTCCACTAACACAACGAAAATGAAGAACAGAAATCTTTTGTTCGAAAAAGCAGACAATCATGACTGCATGCGACGAGTTCTTTCTCGTTGGGGTCTAGTGGAATACCCTTATCACCCATATTTTTCACATCATGTTCCTGTGTGCAATCATTGTGATTTCCAAACTGTGAATCTATACTTAGCCACTAAGGACAGTCATTGTCAGCGTGACAAACTCCTAGATTTTGTAAGGTATTTATTTCGTATTTATAATGTCATAATTTATGTCAATAAATTTACGGACTTTACGCGACCTGTCATCGCTGGCGTGTATCAGCGTGCATTGTGGGCTCCCTTTGTGGCCGCGCCCTTTTGTTGTCCTAACCTAGAAGGAGACCTGGCGCGCGGAGGGGAGAGGGGGGGGGGGCTGGCGGCGCAGAGCCGAGCAGGACAGCCGGAGAGCACCCGACTCGATGCCATCACCTTCATCCACACTTTCACGAGGACCGGGGGGGGCGGGCGAGCGCATGCAAAAGGTGTGAAATGTCTCATATACTTCGCCGACGCGCGACACATTGTCGGGAAGGAAAGTCGCGCGGCGCGCGTCGCGACTCGGGCCGACTTAATACAGTGACACCCTTTAGTTGCATTGTACGCTGCAAATGCCTTTTACGAAGACGGCAGATCTCTCCCCTCTCTGTCATTTTACTTTCTTACTCCCCGACCACCTCTCTGTCTGTCTCTCTATCTCTCTCGCCCTCTCTAAACACTCACACACACATACATACACACGCATACATACATACACACACACACATACACACACACTCACACACACATAGACAATTCGGAGCAGGACCAGCCCGCGTGTACCCTACATGTCAACGCGCTTGCGGTCCCGTCCGTCGTGGCCAACATCATCCGTTCCGCACCCGTGGCCAGAAGTCTGTTATTCCCTGATTCCATCCTCCCGGATCGCAGATTCAGGGATCCCTCAGCCTGACTGCTCAATAGAAATTTTACTACACGATGTGGGGAGGGCCCTCAAAGTGCATCGGCGCGGTTTGAAATAAATATAAGAGAAGGTGGTGGTGCGACTTTTCAGTGGAGAAAAGTTCAAGTCGAGTTTATGAAGCGGACGTTAAGGTGATGCCTTTGAAAGGCCGCCGCGCAGCACGTCCGCTGCTGCACGCTCGGTGACGGGGAGGGGGGCGGAGCAGGCTGTCCCGAGCTGTCCGCTCCTACAAAACTAAAATGTGTGAAGGTACAGTGTGATGTCACCTCGTGTTGTGTAAACGGTCGGAAATGTCCGTGAATGATGGCGACGTTTGTTTACAGAGGAGAAAAAAAATAATTTATTCATCATGGTCAACATTTGGCAACAGCAACAAACAATAAATTAAGAATAAATTAGGACTAATTGGTAAGGCCGGGCCAAGGCATTCGCGCTCTCGGCCCGATGGAGTCAACAAGACAATAAATAATAAATAACGGTCCCCTCAAACAACCACGACGGGAGTTGACGTTTGATTTTTCGCTCGTATTCCCCTCAAATAGCTGATTCCGGGGACAGTCAGGCTCATTCAGTTCAGCCCCGTGTCGTTCTGTGGAGGGTGCATGCCGTCCAGTCAGTCTGGTCCCGCGAGCGTCCAGTCTCACTTGATCGGCCCGCGGCAGGGATGGCACAAGTAAAGTCCGTACGAGTAAAGTCTATGTACAGCAACTGGTAAGGGCTCCAATATGGAGCAGCATCAACATTATATCTCCTAGCGTGTCTCCGTCCCACTCTGTCTTTTGGTTTGGTTAGAAAATTTGGTCAGTCTCAGTTTTGGTGCGTAGCGTGGCGTGGCGTGGCGTTGGTGTGACCCCGAGGACCTCCCCGCTGGAGAGGGTGCGCTCGTGCGCCCGCTGCCCCTGAGCGCCGCGCTGCGCGGTCGGTGGCGGGGGGTGCGTCCTCACTGGTCCTGGGGGGTGTGCGCGCTGTAGGCCATGTCGTTGGCGGCGGCCTCGTCCATCGAGCGCTTGTAGTTGTAGCCGCCGTTGCCGGACCAGCCGGCTCCGGAGCCCGAGGACCAGCCGCCAGCGCCGGCGCCAGCACCGCCGGTCCAGCCGCCCAGGCCGGAGCCGATGCTACCGCCGCCGCCGAGCAGCTTCTGGGCGGCGATCACGGCGGCGATGACGAACGCGATCTTGGCGACGACGAGGGCCTTGACGGCGAGCAGTCCCAGGAAGCCGATGAGGATGGGCACCACGGCGAAGATCTTGAGGGCGATACCAGCCAGGATGGGGCCCATCATCTTCTTCATCTTGCCGCGACCTGGAGAGCAAGAGAGTGGTGGTTTAGACAACGTGTCACCGGGCGGCGGCGCCTATTTCAGTGGCACCACATTTGCAGCTGACAAGATGTGTATGAAAGAAGCTTCCTGCCAACCCCTCATCCCCCTCGAGGGGCATATGGACAGGCGACTTTCACTGAAACGCTAATGATAAAACTTTTTTTGTGGCGATTGTCAATTTCTTTTATACCCCCCCCCCCTCCTCCCTAGCCCGCGTGTCGCGCCGCTGGGATTAGCGAACGGCTTGCCGAGCAGCTGCCCCAGGCGGTTGGAAGAAGCGTGAATAGTAATCGAAAAGGAAATGCACTGGGACGGCTTCAGATGAGATGCAAGCCATGCAAGATAGGCAGACAAAAGATGGTCTATATGGATGTGATCCATCTGCTCCCCATATGACCTGGCTCCTCTCCTCCGCCCAATGCCCAGCGTGAGGCCTGACAGCGCATCACCCCCTGTCCACGTGCACACACACACACACATGGTGCACCGCATGTGGCCAGCCCGCCCCGCCCCGCCGCGCCCCGCCACGCTATGCCCCGGTGGCCTGTGACCCTGATCCCTTGAAGAACGCACACTGTCTGCGGGACAATGGCAGGAGGAGGAAGGGGGAGTGGCGGGG